CACCATAGGGAGCGCCACCGAAGGCCCAAGTGTCGGTGTCCGCATGCAATTCCACCTCATTTCGGCACACCCCTCACACGTTTCGCGGCCCCATAGGGAGCTCCACTCGAGGCCGCATGTCCCAGGGTCCGCATGCCGGTTCCACCTCCATTTTCGCGCACCCCTCACACGCTTCGTGGCCCCATAGGGAGCTCCACCTGAGGCCCAAGTGGCAGGGTCCGCATGCTGTTCCACCTCCATTTCGGCGCACCCCTCACACGTTTCGTGGCCCCATAGGGAGCTCCGCCTAAGGCCTAAGTGGCAGGGTCCGCATGCAGTTCCACTTCCATTTCGGCGCACCCCTCACACGTTTCGTGGCGTCATAGGGAGCCCCGCCTAAGGCCCAAGTGGCACGGTCCGCATGCAGTTCCACCTCCATTTCGGCACACCCCTCACACGTTTCGTGGCCCCATAGAGAGCTCCGCCTAAGGCCCAAGTGGCAGGGTCCGCATGCAATTCCACCTCCATTTCGGCGCACCCCTCACACGTTTCGCGGCCCCATAGGGAGCTCCACCGAGGGCGCCAATGGCAGGGTCCGCATGCGGTTCCACCTCTATTTCGGCGCACCCCTCACACGTTTCGTGGCCCCATAGGGAGCTCCACCGAAGGCCCAAGTGGCAGGGTCCGCATGCAGTTCCACCTCCATTTCGGCGCACCCCTCACACGTTTCACGGCCCCACAGGGTGCTCCACCGAAGGCCCCAGTGGCAGGGTCCGCATGCAGTTCCACCTCCATTTGGCGCACCTCTCACACGCTTCGTGGCCCCATCGGGTGTTCCACCAACGACGATACTTACAACGGCGGCATTCGGAATTGCGTATGGTCGGGCCCTTCGCCAGGATAATTTTTCTAAGCTGGCGTAGGTCGTCGTGAATCGGATGTTGTCGTCGTGGCTTTGCTGTGCTTGCTTACGTGTTGCGTTGGAGATTCTTGTGCAAGCCGCGCAGTCGTCTTTTAGCTGCCGCATGTACAGTAGTCGTTCGTGCTGTGGTTTTGGGGACAGAAATTGTCTCTTGATGACTGCTAGGTCGCGGCGTGGGTGGTCTGCTGTTTGTCCAGCCTTTTCGACCGCCAGTATTTGCGAGGCCAGCTTCCTGATGCTAGCTTGCCTTGGATGTGGTCCATGCCCAGTTCCAATGGTGTGTAACCTGGTCTGTTTTTCCCAACCATCCTGTGGTGTTGGGTCCTCGTTTTGAAGAGACGGTGCCCCGCGTTCTCCTTCCTCCCGCTGCCTCCTCCCCCCTCCCATCATCATCATCATCAACACCAATTTCGGCACACCCTCACACTTTTCGTGGCTCCATAGGGAGCTCCACCGAAGGCCCCAGTCCCCGCGGCCGCATGCGTCCCCCACACCCATTTCGGCACACCCCTCACACGTTTCGTGGCTCCATAGGGAGCTCCACCGAAGGCCCCAGTGCCCGCGGCCGCATGCGTCCCCCACACCCATTTCGGCACACCCCTCACACGTTTCGTGGCTCCATAGGGAGCTCCACCGAAGGCCCCAGTGCCCGCGGCCGCATGCGTCCCCCACACCCATTTCGGCACACCCCTCACACGTTTCGTGGCTCCATAGGGGGCTCCACCGAAGGCCCCAGTGCCCGCGGCCGCATGCGTCCCCCACACCCATTTCGGCACACCCCTCACACGTTTCGTGGCTCCATAGGGAGCTCCACCGAAGGCCCCAGTGCCCGCGGCCGCATGCGTCCCCCACACCCATTTCGGCACACCCCTCACACGTTTCGTGGCTCCATAGGGAGCTCCACCGAAGGCCCCAGTGCCCGCGGCCGCATGCGTCCCCCACCCATTTCGGCACACCCCCTCACACGTTTCGTGGCTCCATAGGGAGGCTCCCACCGTTCGGCCCACAACCCCACACGTGCTACCCGCCCAGTTGCGTCCCCCACCCCATTTCGGCACACCCCTCACACGTTTCGTGGCTCCATAGGGAGCTCCACCGAAGGCCCCAGTGCCCGCGGCCGCATGCGTCCCCCACACCCATTTCGGCACACCCCTCACACGTTCGTGGCTCCATAGGGAGCTCCACCGAAGGCCCCAGTGCCCGCGGCCGCATGCGTCCCCCACACCCATTTCGGCACACCCCTCACACGTTTCGTGGCTCCATAGGGAGCTCCACCGAAGGCCCCAGTGCCCGCGGCCGCATGCGTCCCCCACACCCATTTCGGCACACCCCTCACACGTTTCGTGGCTCCATAGGGAGCTCCACCGAAGGCCCCAGTGCCCGCGGCCGCATGCGTCCCCCACACCCATTTCGGCACACCCCTCACACGTTTCGTGGCTCCATAGGGAGCTCCACCGAAGGCCCCAGTGCCCGCGGCCGCATGCGTCCCCCACACCCATTTCGGCACACCCCTCACACGTTTCGTGGCTCCATAGGGAGCTCCACCGAAGGCCCCAGTGCCCGCGGCCGCATGCGTCCCCCACACCCATTTCGGCACACCCCTCACACGTTTCGTGGCTCCATAGGGAGCTCCACCGAAGGCCCCAGTGCCCGCGGCCGCATGCGTCCCCCACACCCATTTCGGCACACCCCTCACACGTTTCGTGGCTCCATAGGGAGCTCCACCGAAGGCCTCAGTGCCGCCGCCCGCATGCGTCACCCCCACCCATTTCGGCACCCCCCCCGCATTTCTCGCACGGCAGGGTCATCACCACGGTGGCGTGCCAGGGGCGCACCTTGCGCGAAGGCGACGGGGCGGGGGAACGGCGCTCCGGGGGCGGCCAGACCTCCGGGGCGCGAGCAGTCCGCGGCCAGACCATCTCTCGGTCCTGTGGACTCTCGCCCTGGGCCGTCGGCTGCCCGGCGCGCTGCTCCCTCGGTCGACGTCGCCCAGGCGTGATCCTGGATTGCGGCCGCCACGAGGTAGGGAACGGCAAGAAGGAGGACGACGACTGGTGGCTGGAGCTCTACGTGCTGCTCTCGCGCGCCACGCGCCACGAGGACCTCCTGCTCATGCGGGCGCCGCGCATCGAGTTCTTCCTGGCAGGGCCGCCGCAGGGCTTGCGGAAGCAGCTGGAGCAGTTTGCGGCGCGCACGAAGCGGTGCAGGAGGGAAGCGACGGCCCTCGCCAGGGAGCTCGGCTTCACCGAGTTCATCCGCGAGGCCTGACCTGAGGAGCGTCTCCCCCGAGCCGCGCCTCCTCTCGACTGCCCGACTAATTGTTTGGCCTCGCGCCGCGGACGACCCGCGCGCGTCGCTGGGACCCTCTCGGGGCGACCAGCGCGCGTCGCGGGAACTCCGTGCTGCGGGGGGCCCGGCGCCTCGTTCGCCCGTCGTCGCTCTGCCCAGCGGTCAGAGACTTGCCCGCTATCAGCCAGCCAGTTAGCTAGTCAGCTCTCTCTGCTTCGCGCAGCGGACGACCCGCGCGCGTCGCTGGGACCCCGCCCGGGGCGACCAGCGCGCGTCGCGGGGACTCCGCGCTGCGCTGCGCCCGCAGCCTTGGATTTTGGAGTGCGCGGGCAAAGAGGAAGGAAAAGAAGAGCCGAAAGCGGGCGCGATCCTCGCAAGAGGCGTGCCGACATGGGCGTCGCGACGTGCGGACGCTGCCGTCGGGGTTCCCGCGGAAGCTGCCTGCGGCGGCCACGCCCAGTGTCACGTGTGTTCGGACAGGCATGCTCGACACTTACACTAGGCGGTTCCATGATCGCATTCATGCAAATATATTCACTCGCGCGCAGACCCATTCATACTCAGATTCCCTCGCGCTCTGACTCACCCGCGTTCTTTCTCTCGTAATCAGATCTATCGTATTCCTTTGCGTTGTGTACCCCGCCACATTTCGGCACACCCCTCATGCGGTTCGTGGCCCCATGGGGAGCGCCACCGAAGAAGATACTCACAATTGCGATATTCACAACTGCATATGGTTGGGTCCTTCGCCAGGATAATTTTCTGCTGGACGTCGTCGTGTGCTTCGGGTATGCTATCGATGAAAGTCTTCGTATGCTGGGTTGTGGTGGCTGGTCGTTGTGTCGGTTGTGTGCTCTGGTTTGCTTCTGCTGGGCCCTCTCTGGGCGCGGCCGCTCGTCGTTGGCTGCGGGTGCGCTGGGACTGGGTCCACGTGATTGTGTTTGGTGCTGTGTGGCATTGCAAGTTTCCCTGCTGGTGGGTGTGGGTCGCTTGGGGCGGATGGTCGGTCGGCGCTGGTTGTGTGCGGTTAATGCATCTGCTGTGGCCCACTGGTTGCCAGGTGGCGTTCTTTCATTGTCCATGGTGCTGCTGGTACTGTCGTTTTCCTTTGCCTTTGCCTTCGGCTTGGGGTGGGGGGGGGCTGTCCGTACGTCTCTGCTGTTGTAGGTCGTGTCGGTCGTTGTGCGCTGTGGTGTTGGTTTAGTAGGTGCTGTGCTACTTGTAGCTGTTGATGCGTCGTAGTATGGTCTAGTAGCGTCCTTGCTGAAGCTACTCTGTGTTTGATGTTGCTCTTCTCTCCCGTTCCCTGCGATGCCAGGCGGGATTTGGAGATGTGCTTGAAATCGTGGTGGATATGAGTCTGGCCGGGCGAAGCCGCGTAGGTCTGGGCATTAGACGTAGTCGTCGATGTCGTGGTAGTGCTTGGCCAGATGGCCCAGCAAGTGGTGCCGCGTAGCGCGAGAGAGAATCAAAATGCATAGACGAACGGTCAGGGAGGTAAAAGAGTGACGGCAAGGACATAGGACTGACGTATGGGAGAACTTGGAATCGTGGCCGATGGATCGGCGCACTGCTACTGACGCGCCTCAACCGCCTGGCGGTTCATGGCTTCCTCCTCCTCCTCCTCCTCCTCCTCCTCCCCCTCCTCATCATCCTCCGTCCTCAGCCTCCTCCTCCTCCTCCTCCTCCTCCTCCTCCCCCTCCTCCGTCCTCAGCCTCCTCACCTCCTACTCCGCATCTCCCACGGCGGCGGAGCCGCGCCGCCGCCCGGGGGCGCGGGCTCCGCCGCCGTGGCGACCGCTGGCGTGGC